ATTATCCTAAGCAAAATAAGTCAGTCAGAGAAAGACAAATACCATATGATTTCACTCAGACTTTCCACGCTTTCTAAAGGGAATATACAAATTCCCACTTACACTTCAAATTTATTCTTCCACATGTGTTTAAAGAACGAAACAGGGGCACCTGGGTGGCTCAGTTGGTTGGGTGACTGCCTTCAGCTCAGGTCATGATCCTGGAGTCCCGGGATCAAGTCCTGCATTGGGCTGCCAGCTCCATGGGGAGTCTGCTTCTCCCCCGACCACCTCCCCTCTCATGTTCTCTCTCACTCTCTCTCTCTCTCAAATAAATAAAGAAAATATTTTTTTAAAAAATTAAAAAAAAAAAAAAGAATGCAACATATGGGACAGACACCTGGGTGGCTCAGTCATTAAGTGTCTGCCTTCAGCTCAGGTCATGATCCCAGGGTCCTGCAATCCAGCACCTCATCAGGCTCCCTGCTCAGTGGGGAATCTGCTTCTCCCTCTCTCTCTCTCCCCCTACTTGTGTTCCCTCTCTTGCTGTCTCTCTTTCTCTGTCAAATAAATAAATAAATAGAGTGAAACATACAGTTTAAAAAGCATTATCTTTGTTTTCAAGACTATTATCTGACTTACAATGGATATTTAATATGTGCCAGGCACTATGCTAAGTGCTTGACTACATTATCACATTCAGCGCTCTGAGCACTCCCGAGTTGGGCACTTTAATAATCCCCATGTTATGGCTGAGGAAACAAGTAAGGCTCAGAGATGGATGATTGGCCCAAAGTCAGCAAACTGGAAGATGGCATTCGGGTCTGTCTGTCAAGAACTCACACACTGGACTGCTAGGCTGTGTTGAGTTGCACTTATTGATAAAGGAAGTTTAATTTCCTTGTCCATGGACATTTTGCTCCAAGTCAATTACAGTCTTTTTCTTACCTCTTAGACGAAATGAAATCTTCAAAGAGCTTTCAAATGATCACTGTTATCCAGAAGCATTTAAGCCTGCTCATGCATATTTTATTGTCTTGATTATCAGCCAAAATTAACCAATGTTCTAAGCATTTGCAGTCCCAAACAGGATACTTCAAAATTTCATCTTAGATCCTTTTGAGATGCTGTTATAACCATGAAAGTCATAAAGTCCATAAATTAAAGTTTTTTCCAGTCACAGAATATCTTCCAGTAAAAACATTCTTTTGAGTAATTAGTACTGATTGATATCATTCTTACACTTTTATATAGATTATAAATTTTTTCAAAAGGTGGAATACTGGGCGCCTGGGTGGCTCAGTGGGTTAAAGCCTCTGCCTTCGGCTCAGGTCATGATCCCAGGGTCCTGGGATCGAGCCCCGCATCGGGCTCTCTGCTCAGCGGGGA